ATCTGGGTGTAGTATCCATGCACTTCTTTCCTTTCTTCTCTTGAAGTCCAAAGCACAGGGGTTTGTCAAAAAGTGTCTATAAGAAAGTGTCAGGTCGAATGTAGAATCAATTATAGCTTGCGTGCCTCTAAAGGTGCCATTGTAGAAGTGCACATCTCAGTTCGTTATCGCCATCTTCACAGCGAAACGCTCGATACAAGAGCACACGAGCCACAGAGTATGGCAAGTCCAACAAACCAGCCGGAAAAAACACGTGTATGTCGTCCCTAGTTTCCTTAGATCCTGGATTGGATCTGTTTAGCTGCTCTGGTTGGATTCAAGATCATCGAAGGCAACTCCATTGCTGCGGTGAGCAACGCGCACGAACGACACTAACATTGCCACTATAACAACAAACACTCACCAGCGTTTAGAAGGTCAGTTTATCGCTGAACGGAAACTCCAAGGGCAGAACGACACGGCGAAGTGGTTTCTGGTGAGGAGCAAGTTGGGCCGGAGTTTGAACTTTCGTTCTCTGTATGTACCAGCGTTGCACTTGAGTTACCTCCTTCAAGTAGCACTTCAAGTCAAGGTGAAGATTCATTATATCTACGAAAGGGCTTTGCCAGTATCCTCATCCAATTTGCCTATGAACACTGAATCGTTTATCCGTTGCGCGACTCCGCCCCATATTCTTCCTTTTCTGACCCTTTAGGAACCGTCACTCACATTTTCACTGTAGATATTATTAATCTGGGCATCCTTATTCGATACAAGAGTGTTTTAGTGCTCTTGAACAAAGGTATGACTTTCAATCTTCTTGCGCTAAGAATAACATCGTAACAGAGACTTAATGGGTCGTAGTAAAAGCAATTCCCTTCCTGACATCAATGGAGAGAAGCCAAGGTTGGACCGTCATTTCTAATCTAGCCCTTTCTGACGTTCGTTGGATAAGAGGAAGCCATAATCAAAGACCACGCACTAGAAGGCCACAAAAACAACTTAAAATCCTAGATGCTTTCAAGAGAACAGAGTCTTCCAAGATCAACAGGCTCAAACAGAATCATGCTCCGTCTATAGCCACCCTTAGAAAGAGTCCAACTCAGAATCGAGCGGTTGATATCTCTTTAGATGATCAGTTAGGTCCAATTGGACAACAAGAAATCATCGATATTTCCTCCGACCATGAAGATCTAGCCTCTAGTCAAGACTTGAGGATCGCCAATATTACTGGCCAGTATGTTGGAGCCCACGAATTGAGATCATACTCACCTTGTGTCTCCGTAGGGCAACTGCTTCGCCTTGTCCGGCCGTACAACAGAATCAAATCAAATCGACCCCTGCAAATGAAAACACAAATACAAAGGGCGATTGTCCTGGGCAAATCACCTTAGACACAATAAAAGCGACAATGCCTTTTGTTTGTGTTGATTGGAGCAGTTCCTCGTTGAACATGCTCCCTCGAATCGGTATTTGCCCGGTTTGTGATACACTGGTGGTCGGTATGAGCGTACAATCAACCCATATTTGTAAAAGCGGCATCTGCCGTCAAAGCTTTTCAGCGGAAACATGTACCGAATACAGCTGGGTATTTTACCCACATGATATTTTTGACCACATCTCTCTACCTCTTTCTATCGCCCGCACGGCCCTC